AAAAAAAAAAAGATAATTGTACCTCTGTGAAGAAGGAGTCTCACACGGCCTGGAGTAAGGACACCCTGCTTCATTGGGAAACCTTGCTTGTCACACCCTCCCATGATCTTGAACACGTAGCCCTTGAACTCCTGAAATACAAACATTCATGTTAGAGTGGACATTGCAAGGCAGCAGTTCTTTGCACTTTGTAGAAATTAAGTGGTGTGGCATACCTCGCCCAATGCATCTCCACTGACTTCCTGAGATATCCTCTTGTCCCAGAAAACTCGGCTGTCGTTTATGGAAACAGACGATTTAATGAAGATAATAATGACTAAACAACAAATGAGGACACCATGAAAACATGTTGGCACGGTATGAACACAATTAACTACATGAAAAAGTATCCTGTGCGTAAACAGTTGCACAAATTTTAGCAATAAACAACACAACCTTTTACTCCGAGCACATATCAATCAGCAATTAGAAGATGCAGAAATAAGCTATACTATTCTTTCTCGGCATCAGACGCTCAGAGCAAGTTTTGTTACAAAATTCAATACAAAAACCATAATCTGAATTCCGAAGGCATTTAGAAACTATAAAAACAAAACAAGGAAATAACCAAATAAGATAACATGAACAACAACATACGACACAAAGCAACATAAATGAACTAGGAGAATATCAAAGAGCCAACAGGTACGCACAAAACAGCCATATTTCACGAGGTCGATAATTGGGGAAAAAGGTCATTTCTAGCTAAGATCTTTAAAGCCAAACAATAGTATAAACTGATAAATGAGCTCTCCAACTTGCATATACTTCATCTAGAAGCCCGACGCTGATATTCTACATCGTTCCAACATGATAAGAAAAACATATGAAAATGAAGACCGCAGCAGCTAAAAAAAGAGTAAATTTCAGAAGAACTGAACATACAGAGATTGACTACGCCATCAAAACAGCTAATTCATATAAACACAGCAAATGTACATTAAACCAACCAGAAAAGACAGAAAAAAAAAAAAAA